CAATTACGGAATTGGTTTTCCCCGAAATTCCGTGTTTGTTTCATGTAATTCGTTTTCCGGAAAATGTTTTCCCGTGTTTGTTTCACGTAATTCGTTTTCCGGAAAATGTTTTCCCGTGTTTGTTTCACGTAATTCGTTTTCCGGAACGTAATTCATTTCCCTAGTAACAGAATTTCCTTTGTGTTTTCTGTAAAATGACTTACGGATTCATTTTCCGTAAGTCATTTTTCGAACTTTTCACTTCAAAGTAAAAATACTCAAAATAATTTTATTTTATGAATTTAATATTAATAAAATATTTTAATATTATTTTCATCAAAATATTAATTATTAAAATATTTAAAATATATTTATTAATATATATATAATATAATTATTTTTTAGTTTAATAATATAATAAATTATATTATAATAATATAAGATATTATATTTTTTATTTTAATAATATATAATAAATTTTTTTATATAATAATGAATAATATTATTTATATATTTAAATAATATTTTAGTAAAGATATTTAAAATATACTAATTAATATTTTTAAAATATAATATAACACTATTACTTTAATAAATAATTAATATAATTTATAATATTTTATTTCACTAAAATATACCAATATTAATATTTTTATTAATAAAATTATAAAAAAATATATTTAATAATAAATAAATTATTTTAATATTTTAAAATAATAATATTAAGTTTTATGAGAAATAATATTATTTATTATATTTAATATTTGTAATAAATAATTTTTAAAAAACTCTTCAACTAGTGGAAAAAATGTTTAAATAACATCTTCCAAACATCATAAAACGTTTTCCAGAAATGTAATTCATTTTCCAGAATTCAAATTCTAGTAATTCATTTTCCAGAAAACCAATTACAGGCAAACAAACAGACCCTAAATGTCGTTGTATAAAATTAAAATATTTTTAATAACCCTTAAATATCATTGTTGACTTTAGTTGTTAGTGTATTAATCGTAAGATTTATTATTATAAATTTTAAAATTTATATGTAACAACAAAATAAATTATTATTAAATGCTATAATATTAAAAATAATATTATTATGCAATTTAATGTCCCAGGTACTAATATCAACAAGACGATTTATTGTTATAAATTCTTTGCAGACAGCAGCAGCCAATACAGGTGAAGAAGACCTCTTCATGTGGCTATAAAATTATTTATTTTGAACGTACACTTTCAGCAGATCAATTTTATGTAATTACAACGTACTTGTTCAATAAATAATTCATTCATTAAATTTCAAAAATATATATACGTATATTGGTTGAATTAATTCACAAAACACAAGATGGTTGAATTAAAATTTCAAGACAAGAATGGCGTTAGATATCCTTCATCAAAATTCCACGAGGCTTCATCGGCTATTAAAACAAATAAATTATTGTGTGTATATATATATATGGTTGAAATTATCTCATCATATTATTTTGTTTATTTTTTTATTTTTTATTGCTAATCTCAACCGTCTATTTTTACTTATTTAATAATTTTAAATATTCTGTATAAGTGAATCTTATTTCATATATATATATGATTCAAGGTTCAAAATAAATAGTGCATGGATTGAATATGAATATGAAACATTATTTTTATGAAAAATTAATATATTAAAAAGCTTATTTTGTTCATATTTATATACGAATATATAAAAATATATTGTCCTTTAAATTTCTTGTTATTTGAAGAAGTTTAAAGTGAAGTAACGTGATAACTATGGAGTTGTCCAAAGAACACCAACAATACAATTTCATCGGAGATTACAGAATTGAAAAATGTAATGCGTTGAACACATTTCCTTTTTGTTCCCATTATTGCCAGTTCAAGACATTTACTTATGATTCCAATCGTCTTCTTGCGAAAAATCTCAACACACGATCATGGACAAATCTACGACAAACAAATTGTTCTATGGGACAAAAGTTGTCTATCAAAGAAGTTTCGATTAATTATTATTATCCAGTCACAAATTTGATTTTTTTTTCTGTTAAGTCAATAAAATATTTTTTATAATATCATCAAATTTTATATTTAATCATATTATATCATCATCATCATCACACAATAGTTAAATTATTAGAATAAAAATATAAGAATAAATGAAATAATAAGTAGATTATTTAGCTTAATTTTTATATCGTTTAATATCATAAAAGTTACGTGCTAAATTCAAGACGAACTTCGATCGAAAAAGCTTCGTCATGTCATAAGAGTCCTAATGTTTTCTAAACTTTTGAACGGAATATATATATAAACGATGTTTAAATTAATATAAGTTTTCTTTTTCAACTTTTTGACGCGTTACTCGGTTTTTTTTTTCCTTCTTCTTCTTTGATGGCAATGGGTTTGAACAGTGCAATGACTGACAATTTTGTTCCTCTAAGAAATTGCGGGTTAAATCTGTCACTTTCCTTGCAATCTTGTTGACCAAGATTGTTGTTTTGTTTATTTTGATTTTATATTAATGTACAAGTCATAGATGATAATTTGCATAAATTGAGAGGTAAACTTTTCATAGTAATTTATGTGAGAGGTAATCCTTTATTCCAAATCAATTTCAGACCAAAATTAAATCACCTAACGATCAAGGAATGCTTGATTTATGAAAATCTAATTGAAAGTCTTTTCTTTATTCATTGGTTCTCTCATTCGATTGAATTTTCAAACAAAATCAAGGCCGAAGCAATAAACTCAAAAGTAATAAACAAATATAAAAAAGAAAATCATCGATTTTCACTGAGAAACCTCAAAGAATGTTAGATTTAGAAAAATCTATTCAAAAGTCTTTTCCTTATTCATCAGTTTTATCTCATACGACATAATTTTTTAGGAAAAAAATGACAAAGTTGACCGAAACAATAAAGATAATAATAATAAAAAAAATAACAATGAATTAAAAAACTATGGAAAAATAAGGTCTATTTATAGGCTCCTAAAAACCCTAAAAGCAAAAAACTAACATCTATTAATACTAGATATACTAATTAAAAGAAAAGTATTTCTAAAATAATAAGAAAGCCCTAAATTACCCTAAATAAATTATGGAAAGTCTAAAACTGAATTTAATTACAAATATTCAATAAAATAATAGAAATTTTGTAATAAATTAAAATCTCCGTATTGGGCCCGTATCTAATTTTCTGCACGCGATGTCTTCGCTAAAATAAGCATATCTTGAGTTTCTGATGTCCGATTGATTTCAAAATGCATTAGAAAACTAAGTGAAAGATGATTCAGTTTTAAGAAGATATCATACCTTAAAAATGTCTAGATCTTGTCAAAAAAATCGTTGCAAGTTGGCTGATGTATTGCGCTTCAAAATCATTTCTAAAAAAAATGTTTCGGGTTTGAAAAAATAGACCAGACAAAATTTAGGTATTACAATATCATATGTATATTCATTGGTGAAGGAGATCCAAGAATTAGTATGTCGAATTTTTAATAGATTTTTATTAAAGTAAAATACATATATTTTCATATTAATGTTACCATGAATGACAACATGTGATGGGCGGTGATTGATCGTCAACGATAAACAAAAAATTTAGTGCCTAAAATTGAAGTGTTTTAAAGTCTAGTGACAAAACCGATTCAAAAGTTAAATAATTTATATAGTTTAAAACAACATCATGAACTCATTAAGTGGCCTTAATGATAAAAATAAGTGTTGCTCCTCAATTATTTTTGTCAATTTATCACATTGACGAAATTAGCATCCATGCTATTGTGTCATTTTCGAGATGACAATCTAATACTATAATTGAAGATAAAATTAAAATTTAAAACTACAATCACATTAATTTAACATTTAATAATAAAATTAATAAAAACATTAACATTTAATAGTATCTAGTTTATCCTATTTTTATCTATCACCTTAAATATTGGTTATTTATAAGTAATGAATCACACTCAATTGCATTTTTTTTGTCCTCTCGGTTTTAAGATTTAGCCTTGACTAATCTGGAACAACTTGGGTCGCACACATAGTTTTGGTGGGCGAGTCTCCTAAAAAGGATTTTTTTACATACATAAGGACTCAAACTCAAGACCTTGCTTAAGCAATATCGAGCTATATATCACTTGAACCAACCCCACTTAGTACACTCAATTGTAATTTGATGTCTTATATTTTGACTTTAAATATTTAATCAAATTCCGATTGTAGTCGGTCCATCTGAATATAGATACTAACTTTTCAAAGTGTATATGTTTGACTATTATCTATGGATAAATTAACGCTTAGATATTTGTTAATATGCTTTGGTATTTGGATTAATACAAAAAGCAGCTTTTAATAAATCTCAACCCTATGCTAACAATATGATAATTTTCTAACCCTATGCTGTGAGATCTAGTTTCATTAGTAATGTAATTGGTAACATTAATCCATTAAATTATTAACATATGATTTTGGTAATATAAATTTCAAATTAAATAAATCTTCATATATAATACACACACATATATCCTTCAACAAAACCCACCTCGTCTAGTAGAATTCCTCATCAAATTTCAACTTATGATAATATTTTCAAAATCAATTAAGTCTTACAATATGCATACAGTTCCTTTAAACTTTGGCCATGTAAACATAATATGTCATTAAATAACAAGTTTTTCTCTCTACATCTTTATATATATATATATATAGAGTCAACAATCAACCCATACACCTTGAGAAACTAATCTTCATCTTTCACGTGGGACGTATTATATGAAATTCAATTAAACATTCAAAGTTAACACTTACTAAAGTAAATTGTATTTTCAAATAATAAACACGGATTCACTATTTGAATATAATTTGTAAAATAAACACAAAAAATATAAAATCATGAAATGTTTATTAAACAAATTGTAAACCTCAGTTATAACCTTTTATTCATAAGGGAAATATAGAAAGAAGAGATGGGGTAAAGATTACACTATGATACAATCTTTCAATTTATTGTCATATAGAAGCATTTGTGCTAAAGCCAGAGGCTACAACAGATGTATTCTTCACGCGGAGTTGGTTTTTACAAAATCAAGAGATCTCTTACCGTCATGGGGGTTTCCAAAAAAGCTTTTGATGTAATCTAACATCACAAATTCTCTGTAGTGAGCCACTCCATCTTTCTTCACCAATTGAGGCAATGGTGCAACCTTTTGTGTTGGTTCTGGCCCTGCAAATAGTGGAATTGACACCCTTGATTTTGTGCTTGTTGTGCGGACTCTATGCTCTGCACTTTTGTACCTTCCGTTACTTAATATCTGAATAAGAAAACAATAATTTGGAGGTATATAATGATATGGTATAATTATTTTTTTCGTAAATATGAAATAAGTGATAAAGCAAGCTTTAACTTGAACCTGCAAGGTATCACCGATATTGATGACTAGGGCACCCGGAGTAGGAGGAATCTCTACCCATTCTCCTTTCTTTTCGGTGTCTACTTCTTCAGGAACTTTTACATACAAACCACCAATCCCATCTTGTAATAAGACTGTTAGAGTACCGATATCGGAATGACGTCCTACACCGACTGTGAGTTCAGGATTAGGACATGTCGGATAAAAGTTCATATTAACTGTCTTCTTTTGGATGAATGTGTCGATATTTGATTCATCTAGTTTCACTCCTAGATTTCCCAACAAAGCTTGAATCAATTTCCTCACCAGCTCATGTGATGTCTTCAAGTATTGAAGGGCATCATCCCTACGAAGAGGATATCGATATTATTATATGAATCTCTATAGATTAGGTTTTGTAATGAAAGAACGGAATTTATTTCATTACCTGCACTCTACAGGCCACTGCTGAATAGCTTCATCATCATTGGTGTAAGACATGCTAATGTAGTCTTTCCATTCCAATGCTCTTTCTTTCTCAGGTAAAAAACTCGTTCCGTAATTCACCAATAGAGATGGACTCACTTCTCTGCGATAAACAGCCTTTCTTTGGGCCGGCAAACCGAAGAAGTTATGCGCGGTCTGCTTAAGTGACTCGAGTAATTCTACCGGAACTCCATGATTGATAACTTGGAAGAATCCAAGAGTCTCAGCAGCTCTAACAATTTGGTTCACCACTTCATCATGGTCAGGACCATCAAGCTTTGACAAATCAATGGGTGGTATGTCACATATGCTTGCATTGTTCTTATCAATTTGCTCGGCTGGAGGTTGAATATAAGCCGGCGGCACGGTTGATATGCCGGAGTCCACTATTCCTTTGACACCATTTCCATCTCGGACGGCAAAGTTAAAGAGGGAGTTCTCATTATCGAAACTTGGAGCCATTTGTATGCGCTGAGGGTTTGATTGAAATGAAAATTTTGTGGTGGTGGCGTGAACCAGGCAAGGGGGCTATTTGTACTAGTGCATGTATCTTGTACGGATGACTACGAGTAATGGGATTTTTAATTTTCTGCCGACTTCTATGATGCATACGGTTCGACTTTTCAGCAAGACGAAAATTCTGGCGTTTAAGTTTTGAAAATTATTTTTCTTTTGAAGAAATTTAAGATACAATCTAAGAAATTGTTAATACATTAATCTAAACGAGTTTCGCTCTCTTTATTTTAAATCTAAAATATTATATTTTATTATATTAATTCTTTTTAATAGATTATTTAAAATTTTATGCAATAATTATTTTTTCTTATTTTAAATACCTATGTATCCAAAGTTCCAAACGTAACAAAAAGATAAATATATTAATAAATAATTTTGATGACATATATATACAAGGGATGCCAATGAGGTAATATCGTAAAAAGTCATATTTTGAAAACGTAAAGAGTTGAATTTATAATTTGAATTGTTTTTTCCCCCTTTATTTTCTCCATATCTGATCATGATTTGTACTTTTAAATGTTATTTTTTAATTATGGTTGTCTGAAAAATAATTCTTGAAATACATTTTAATCATGTTTTTAATTGTTTTTTTTTTCTTTCCTTTCTTTGTGTATCTGATAATGATTTGGACGTCTTCATCTAATTTTTTTAATTAAGGTTGTTTGAAAATTAATTCTTGAAATATTTTTTAATAATAAACTGATCTCATTTTTGTGCGGAGGCTTACTGCATGAATTATGCAGTTAAGCAATAGAGGCTAAAGTTGCACTCAGAGCCTTATATTGAAAACTGTTGTTTTATTGTCGTCTCGATTGTATTGAAAGATCAAAAGTTATATTAATATTAATGAAGTTATCTTCTCCCAAAAAATATAGTGTTGTTTTGTTTGATTCTATTATTTAGTTAATCTTTATCATCACAATAAAACCATGCAAAGAACAGCTATCCGTAGTCATAATTATTTAAATAAATACAAACGGAACATAAATTTTTCCAAGAATAAAAAAACAAACATAAACATAACTTTATTCATTCAAACTCAATCTTTACCCCTAACGTGAACATGATATAATTGTAGACATAAGTAACAGATCACCACACATACCGCTGAAGCCAAATCAGAAGAGGAGATTTTTCAGCTTGCAAGAGAGCAGCACATGAAAACCATGCAAAGAACAGCTACCCATGGTTAAATCTTAACTTGATTGCCGTTAGGGTTTGGGGAGGCAAATGCAAGAAACTCATGGTCATGTTGTAGCATATCCAAGCATTTTTCGTCTAAAGTAACCCATGCTTCGATGGCCTTGTCATTTCCTACCTCTTTTTCGAAAAGTGAAATTATTAAGTGCAGGAGCAACGAGCCCTGGGATTCCCAGCCAGCTGGGCATTCCCCATCCAAAATCAACTTGATGCATCGCAGAATTCAACCAGCTAGAGAAACCATACAAGTCTACATTTTCATTCGAGGATACTTCTGATAACTGCTTTATTTGTTCACTTATGACTTTAAACCCTTCATCGCCTTGCAGACCTTCTGTGTCGAAATTCTCCACTGATTGTGTCGCTATATATGCCAATTCATGTAGCTCTGTGTCTTTATCAGCAGAGTTATTATACGTGGTGGTTGCGAACCAAAATAGATTCCCAATGGAATAATCCGGTAACGGCTGCTTCATTTTTCGTCTCATATTCACTGCTTGGATTATCACAGACGGCTTTACAATTCCAGATGTCGATCTCGATGCCAACATGGCATGTTTCCATATGAATGCTGTCAGTGTTTCTGCTCGAGAAGGATGCTCCAGATTTTTGGTTTTGGCTTTAAACATTAGCGTCTTCACTGCATTCGCATCAAACACGAAACTCCTCGTCTTGTACTTTCCTTCTTTGAACCAAACTCGTTTCAAGGAAGACAGGGTATCTGGTGAAATCCAATCCCTGGTGGGGAAAAATCGTGATGATGCCTCTAACAAATGGAGACGAGGGATTTCGCCGTTAGTACCCCGAGCAAAAGCTGACCAACTCTTAAGAAAAGCGGATACCGTCGACGAATCAACCATCTTGTGGGAACAACACAGTGCTAGAGCTATCCCGCCACAATCAAAGACATTGAATTGAACGGCTAGTAGGGGGTGTAAGCCCGAGAGGTGGCGAAAGGGTTCCAAGGGAAGCAACTGATTTAGCCTTTCAAGTTCGACGGCTTCGAGATAATCAGACAAGCAACCGTTTACGCGCGCTTCAATGAACGGCACTCCCTCCTCGTAATAATCGATGCAAAGGTTGTGTATTGTTCGACCAGATAAAGGGTAAAATTGATTCAAGGTTTTCGAAAGTGATTTTTTCAAGAGGGACGAGATTTGTGTGGTATCAGCAGTTGAACCATTGAAGAATAAGATGCCGGGAACGTAAACTGGAGGAATGAGCTGGTCTAGAAATGAGATATTGAATGGCTTTTGAAGATGAGCTTCATTGGAATCGGGCCGAATCGTTTCCCTTGAACTAACACGAACTTCCATCGTCTTCGTCTTCTTCTCCTTCAAAATCTTAATCTGCTGTATAATTTTGGTTTTGGATGATGAAAAGAATAGCCAAAGTAGATATTTATAGCATTTTCAATTGAATGTCGCTTCGTTCGGCAGAAAAGAACAGTTTGTACATGAATGATATTACTTGGTGTTTCAGATTGCCAACTATAATTTTACATATTAATGTTGTAATTTATACAGTACATATTGAACTAAAAAACATATATACTTTTAAGATTTATCATTTTAAAACCTACCTGTTGTAAATTAAGATATATAATATTATTAGTGGCAACATTGACGATATCCAAAGGAAAAAATAGGTTTATTTTACTGAAAGCCACAAATATTTCATTCAGATTTTAAGCTACCAATAACTCGGGAAGTGCTATAATGGGAACTCTGAAATAAGGAAAATATATGTAACACCCTTATCCGTATTTAATTCTAAAATACGAATCAGACTGTCACAAATTAATTTTCTAGCATTCAAATTTAAATCATTTATTAATTTATACATCAATTCATACTTTTTTTTCCACCAAACTAATTTCGTTTTCAAGCAGTAACTTAACAGTTCATAATTATAACATATAACAAATAAAATTGTTTGTATTTTACTTAAACTAAAATTTATCTTAATACCGGTTTAATTCTAATTCTTTTTACCGTATAGTTAACATGCAATCCATTTTTTTATAACTATCATAATCTATATACTATTCATTAAACTACTATCAGGTAAATCATTACAAACCTGTTTTAAGCATAGTTTATACCAAAATACCATTAACACTTATATACATACCAACTAGAAAATCAAAATACATCAGAAAGATGTCATTACTGATACTAAAGATATACTCCTCGATAGGTACAATGTCGAATACTCCTTACTTTGATTTTTGCTTTTTATTTACGCGTGAGAATCATCACACGCTAAGTATACACTTAGTGAGGCAATCATAGTAATAGTCAATGCAATACAACACATAAATATAAATAAATAAATAAATAACAATACTCAATGTATTATGATTTGTATTTCAGTCATGTTACCATTTATTAACATGATATAAACCCCATATAAAATTTCTTACTAATATAATTGCCATTTATTTCAAAGCTCCAAAGCTTATTCAATTGTTTATCATTTATTAACCAATAAACCATACCCCAAGTATATGCCTATGAGAACCCTAGGTACACAAGTCAAATATGCACCGAAGTGCTAATACACATAAGGTCGTGCCCACCATATGCACTAAGGGTACGTTTGGTTCACGGAATGTAAGATTACCAATGGGAATAAAAGATTATCAGGGAATAGGATTATCGGGAATGTTGTATTTTGTGTTTGATTGGTTTAGCAGGAATGTAAGATTATCGTGTTTGGTTAAAAGAATAAAAGATTATTGAAATGTATATTTGACCAAATTATCCTTATTATATATTTGTTTTTTTAACAAGTTAGAAAATATTTATATATTTTCTTTAAAAAATTTAAATTCATAAAATTTATATAATTTTTTTACAAAATTGAAAATATAAAAAGGTTTAATGAAAAGCTAAACTTTTATTTTAACCCCTGAACTTCATATAAAATTTTAATTATAGATTTTTTTTGTAAATCTAAAATAGTTTAAGGATAAATTTGTATGTTAACCTTCGTAGAATTTTTATTATTCAATGATAGAATAAGGATATTTTTGAAAGAAAAAAAAATTAAGGGCATTTTAGTCCAAAACGTCGGTAATCCAATAATACCTAAAGAAAGTGAGGTAATGACATTCCCGGTAATATATCCCAAAAAATCCACTATTGGTAATATAAGATTACCGGGAATGACATTCCCGACCAACTAAACGGGGGAATATGGATTCCATTCCCATGTGAATCTCACATTCCCTCAACCAAACACACCCTAAGTGTCATTTATATACACTATAGTACTAAATCAAATATGCAACCTGTTGTTGGACTCTATGACATACCAACTATACCATCTATATTTATTTCAATCATAACATTGTATATCAACATAATTCAAAATTGGGCAGTTCATACCTGAAATAACATTCATTATATAACATCATAAATAAACTAAAGATCAATGCATTTTATATTAACTTTTGACATATTTAAAACATGTAAAATATATGATTAATGACATAAATATCATGTTAATATAAATAAGGTAGACTAATCGCAAGTCTTCCTAATGATGTATAAAACATTCATGTATCATGTTATGTATGCATTGCACTCACCTTGACACTTTTATACAAGTCAAAATATAAGCCTCACTAAACTTTAAGCTCGATCTTTTTCCTTTCCTTTGTTGCTAGTTAGGTCCCCTTTTTTATTGATGTCTATAAATACATCAAACCTATAACACAAATAATCAAAAGCACATGGTAGAATCCATCTAACCCATGTGCATATAGTGTAGGAAAAATTCATAATATTCAT